AGGTAATTATTGTTATGTATGTTCCTATGACCATTTTCTTAATTATTTTGTAGGTCCTTTTCTTCTCTTGTGTTTCCCACTTAGAGAAGTTCCTTTAGCACTTGTTGTAAAGCTGGTTTGGTGGTGCTGAATTCTCTTCACTTTTGCTTGTCTGTAAAGCTTTTGATTACTCCATCGAATCTGAATGAGATCCTTGCCAGGTAGAGTAATCTTGGTTGTAGGCTCTTCCCTTTCATCACTTTAAGTATATCATGCCACTCTCTTCTGGCTTGTAGAGCTTCTGCTGAGAAATCAGCTGTTAACCTTATGGGAGTTCCCTTGTATGTTACTTGTCATTTTTCCCTTGCTGCTTTCAATAATTTTTCTTTGTCTTTAAGTTTTGCCAGTTTGATTTTTATGTGTCTTGGCATGTTTCTCCTTGTGTTTATCCTGTATGGGACTCTCTGCACTTCCTGGACTTGGGTGGCTATTTCCTTTCCCATGTTAGGGAAGTTTTCAACTATAATCTCTTCACATATTTTGTCAGGTCCTTTCTCTCTCTGTTCCCCTTCAGGAACCCCGTATATTGCGAATGTTGTTGCATTTAATGTTATCCCAGAGTTCTCTTAGTCTGTCTTCATTTCTTTTCATTCTTTTTTCTTTATTCTGTTCTGCAGCGGTGAATTCCACCATTCTGTCTTCCAGGTCACTTATCCGTTCTTCTGCCTCAGTTATTCTGCTCTTGATTCCTTCTAGTGTAGTTTTCATTTCAGTTATTGTATTGTTCATCTCTGTTTGTTTGTTCTTTAATTCTTCTAAGTCTTTGTTAAACATTTCTTGCATCTTCTCGATCTTTGCCTGCATTCTTTTTCCAAGGTCCTGGATCATCTTCACTATCGTTATTCTGAATTCTTTTTCTGGAAGGTTGCCTATCTCCAATTCATTTAGTTTTTTTTCTGGGGTTTTATGTTGTTCCTTTATCTGGTACATAGCCCTCTGCCTTTTCACCTTGTCTATCTTTCTGTGAGTGTGTTTTTTGTTCTACCAGCTGCAGGATTGTAGTTCTTCTTGCTTCCACTCTTTGCCCTCTGGTGCTTACCTTTTTATAAACAAAGAAAATATAAGCTTTTGTGTTTTTAATTGTTTTCCCATTGTGCATAACTTTATATTCCAATGCCAGTAAACTCATCATTTTAATAATGATGGCATCTATAATTTCTGTCTGAATGTTTGAAGAAACCAAGTACTATTAATTAAAAGTTAAAAAAATTTTTAATCACTTTTGTAGCTTGCCATGGCCCATAAACCTTGAATTTTCCTCCCTTCTTCCAGTATTTTTCAACTGAGCACTCACATATCTATAAAAAGAATTATCACATTTACAAAGCTACATGCTGAAAGCATAGTGGTACCTGAAGGTCCAGTGTGTAATCATTTCTGAAAGTCACAAAGCACATTAAGTGAAATTTCCCTCCTGGATTGGGGGTGTCTACGTATGTAGCTTAGGAAATGTAAAGCCAGCTACAAGGTATTTCTCCCACCTCAAGGCAAAAGCAATTAGTATGCCAAGAAGTACGTGTCCTTCTAGGTCATTTTAGTTGCAAAGCTGTCTTTTTAAAGATAAACTGGGCTTTCTTGTGAAAAGAGACAGCAACATTCCTTTTAGTTTCTGATAGAGACACACACAGGCACACAGATACAGACACACACACAAGCAAACTTGGAAGTTAGAAAAGCAACACAATTCGTAACATTTCTGAATCCCTGGATTATCATTTGTTCTGAAATATCTTTTTCTCACTAACTGTAAATTGATATCTGTGTTTGGAAATGTAATTGTGAAACACCACTATAAAAGTGCACTGTGCTTAGGCTGTAATTTGTAGGACATCTAGGCTAATGAACATGTATCATTCCAGCCTTTGAAAACATGCTGTTTAGAAAAGGAATAGTATCTTCATTACTTAGACTCTTTATGGTTTACAAAAAGAGTCAACCCCAGATTGTCTTTGTTGCTGTGGATTTATAATAAGGACACAGAGAAAGGAAAGTAGCAGGGGAAACAGCCTTAGTACCTTAACATTTCTTCTGGATCTCACACTTCCCATGTAGCATAGATGGCCTCATGGAAAGGTGGAAGCTGAGCTCAGCATTATTCAAAGAATTCAGTCTGAGCTCCAGTAACCTGCTTCTTCCTGGGCACCTGGAATTTATACTTTCTGGAGTGTCAATCTTATTAGGGTAATGTGCCATCTCAGAGAGCATCAACTTTCCTCATATCCAGGTCTTCACAGAGTGACTTTGGCTTGGCACTAGTCACTGTTCCCACCAAAGAAAGCCAGGGATATTTTGTTGATGCTGCACACATGACATGAGCAGTACTGTTCAGGAGAAACCACTTGGAACTGCTTTCTTTCAAGAAGCATACTGTGCAAGATTATAAGCTCTGAACTTAACTCAAAATTACTCAACTTTTCCCCAAAATTACAACTTACAATACATTTTGGAGTCTCAGAGTATTAATTAGGGTTGGCTAGGTTATGCTGTGGTAACAAATAAGGCCCCCAAATTTAGTGGTTTAACACAACAAAGATGTATTTCTTGCTCATTTAATCTGATGCAGATCAGTGACTCCAGGGTAGCTTAATGCCACATATAACTCATCTGCCCAGCATGATTCAATCTCGTGACATCATCATCTCAACAGATAGCTTCCAGGGGAAGAAAGAGCTAAGCAAACTCACACCCATTCTATATATTTGGATTAGCACCAATCAATTCCAAACATAGTCCATGGTCCAGAACTAGTTACATTCCCGTTTCCTACAGGAACATTGGGAGTTGTGGAGAAGTGTATTCAGTGAGTATGCAGTTTTTCTTTCACACTCAGTTTCTCATCTGTAAAATGGGCATGCTCACAATAATGCATAGGATTATTACAAATTAGTGCTATGTAGTAATCTAGGACCACTATATAACAAATTAAGTTATAAATCTAATGTGCTTAGCACATGTTTGTTATAGAGCAAGTACTAAAGAAATATTTATCCTCGTTATTTTTCTCTCAGAAAAGGGGCTATTGGTATAGTCATTACATACATTTTCATAGACTCTTTCTATAGTACAACTTTCAAGATGACCTCAAAACATTTTCATGAACTTTAGATATGTTTTGTTTTCTTTCCTCTGTCTTTTCTTCTTAGTCACTGAACTGAAGCCCCATAGTGAGATTTTGACAGTAGTTTGAAACACTTCAACATTTGATTGAATTATAATAATAACTGAGAACATATTTTTTTCAAGTTGGAACTTACTTTACGACTACAGGTACTCACATATTAGGATTGGCTCTAGTTGTTGGGGGTCAGAATACATTTAACCAAAACTTCATGCTCTTTCCACAGATTAAGGAGCCAAATTCAAATTCATTCAAGGCAACATGTTTATTTTGTGCATATAATTGTACTATGGGAGCAAAGGATGACTCAGATATATGTGTGGTTTCACAACCTTAAACTATTGGTGAATACATAGAACAAACATATGCATAATCATAATACATGTAGATTAAGCTCTAAGTATCAGCAAGAAAATATAATACCGAGTCAGGCAGCTGGGGAAGGTGACCTGAGAGAGGAAAGGCTTTGAGATGATATCACTGGGTATGGAGTAGTTTAGAACGTGTAGATGAGGAGAAAGGCAAAATCGGCAGAAAGAAAAACACAAGCAAGAGTAGAGCAGGTCCTAGTCTGTAAGTGAAGAATGTTGTGAAGGGCACTTTAAAAAATAGATCAAGCTCGTGTATAATACTAGGGGACCTTGAAGGCTGTAATCACAGATACTGTTAACCTACTCAATAAAGTAGATCTGCAAAAGGTTTATTTAATTTTTCCACATTATAGTCAGGTTATAGATAGATAAAATTTTCCCTGCATTCTTTAGTCACTAGGAAATTTTTCTTGAATTGGGCATCTGTTCCAATATAAAAAATATGAAACTTTGTATCTTTAAAAACTTATTTGACCTTGTGCCACTGTCTTTCTTTTTTTTTCACTTTCTTTTGAATACTTTTTCAATTAACTTTTAATCCATTTGAAACCTGATAAAAGAGATGAAAGAATATTCCCCAATATAGATAGTAACAGCTGATACGTATATAAGTTAATGCAGTAGATTTCCATTCTTAGACTTTTAGGAGCTTTGGAAGAGTGAGAGAAAAAGTCAAATAGAGAATATTTTTTTGAAAATTGTCAAGGTTTTCCACGTAGAAGTTGAAAAATATTTTTAAAAAATTAATGGAAGGCTTGATCCTTTTCACGTGTAAGAAAGTTTTCAGAAAGATTGCTTTACTTGTTGGATCTATCAGAGAGAAAGACTATGTAGATAGTATATTCGGCCTTTATAGTTGGAAAAATGAGAGGATTAAATAGAACAGGAAAATAGTTTGAAATTATATTTGAATGATGTGTTCAATGTTCATTTGTGAAGAATACCATCACTAGAAACATCTTTGTTAGAACTGGAGAAACGAGGCCACAGAAAGGATGCTTTTCAAAATAACTTTAATTAATATGTTCTCCTTTGTCATTAAGCCACTTGGGAAAAATCAGTTATAGATTCATTTAATTACCTTTTTAAAAAATGTTCTGGTTGAATAATGTTTTTAATTAACTATTGATTATTTGTAGCAGTGTCCTGCAACAAATCATAAAGTGTGTATTTTTAAAATCAAGTAGTAACATAAATTATAAGAAAGTCTTGTTATATTTGCATCTGCCAAAAAAATAGGCAACTTAGGATAATTGTTGTCCTTTAATCTGTTTACACGTGTTTATAGGTGCCTGGAATAAGTGCTCAGATGAAAACATTATATCTAAATGTGTCAGGCTTCACATACTGGTATGATGCTGTAGGAACATAAGCAAACAGGATTTTTTGGTTCATTTTTTTGCAGTGGGTTATTTTCTGCTATTTATTTGTCAGAGGCCTATAATAAAATTATATTTTTGGCTTCATTTCAGTACAAAACTAGAAATAGTGATTGCTTCAGAGTCACTTAAAGGCATCTTCCTGAGAAACATCATGCTCTTGCCATTTTGCAAAATTATGTCCAAGAAATGAAATGATTCTCAGCATTCTTGAATATGTGAAGGAATTTCTACTATTTTAAGGTAAACAACATCAAATTCTATTGGTGGCCAGTGTAAATGCAAACCTAAAGATGGTGTGGTTGAGAGAAATCAACCAGCATACTATATATTATTAGGTAATATCTATGGAATGGCTTTTTTGTAATTTATTTCATGTTCTTAATAATTTTTAAAAACTTTATTTTAAACCAAATGTAGGATGTATCTACAATCTGAGATATTTTATATTAATAATTGTCAACCTGAGGTCAATGCAAACATTTTTTTTTTTCTGAAAGTGACTGTGTAATGGGAAAGGGTACATTAATTCCTATCTCTTATTCTTTTCTTTGGTTCTATATCTAGGAAACCAATGCACTTCCCAGACTAGAGACTTGGCTTCCCAGAATGGACCTTTGAAGAAAGAAGGAAGCCTGAAGAATAAACAGTAAGTGCAGGGGGATGCCATCAAAGATGTGAACTATTTGGTGAGTTCAAGATGTGTAGTATCAAAACCAAGATGAAAGAATGGGATAAGGACCCACACACATTTTTATTATGTTTGATATTATTTTTAACAATAGCAGCATATTGAATTTTGCTATGTTTTACTCAATTTCTGATTCTTATAACAATCTATATTAAGTTGAATTGAAATGACTTCTTTATTTTCACATGTTGTTGCTTCTTTTTCTAGAAGTTCTAATTCTTTTCATTAAGTTATAGGTCAATTCTTATTCAGTGCTATACAGTTTAAATTACTGTAGGTTTATAATGTGTTTACTTTTCAGTGAATATAGGCTGTAGTACACTCTCTCTATTTCTTCTCTTCCTTTTCATAGAGCCTCTTTCACTCACCTGCCTATTCCAAAGCCTGATACCCAAGGTATGACAAATCTCTTATATTCACAGTAAGCCACTGTGATACACATTCCCACCCAGACAGCTCCCATTTGAGTGCTGTGAGGAAACCCCATCTCTCTGACCATCTACACCTTTTCCCTTCATTATTTCTTACACCTGGTCCAACATTGATGCCTCTTCAAACCCTTTCCTTCTCCCATAATTCTCAGCTCAGGATAGGAATGTCTTGTTCCAATAGGTGTGAGCGATTAATTGAGAGGAACAAAAATTCATTAGAAAATTAAGCTAGATGAAGCTAGAAAAGGGGTGGAGAGCAGAAATATTTTATCTAAGTAATAGGGAAGCAAACATGAAAAATGGAACTCAAAGCAGACTAAGTTTCATGTCTGTATGAATGACATATTTATGACTATGGTCTTCATGCCCAGTAATTATCATAAGGAACAATGTCAGAAAAGTCCTTAAATCTCTTCTTTCATGTGTAAATAAAAACCTCTGTTTTCATCTAAATGCAATAACCAGTAGATACTCATGAAAACCAGCCAAATATACTTTTCTCTCAGATATCATACACATCTATTCCTTTTTCTTCCAAAACAGCATTTTCTTATGAAGCCACATTAGTTGTTGACATAGCCTGTGTAGCATTTCTTCATAGGAAGAAGTTATTTGAAATTTTGCTGGTAGGCTTCCCTAGGTTTGTGCAAAGAATTACCATGCTTGTACCTGTAGGCAGTTTTTCCTGTCTAACATATTTTATTCAAAACAATGATTTCCAAAAACTTATTTGCATATCAGAATTCTCTAGGGAGTTTTATAAAAGCTGAACAGACAGCTCTCTAAGCCTAGTGAGTCAGAATATCTGGGCTGGGAACTGTAGGTTGCATTTTTACCAAACGGGCAGGTTTATTTCCCTGAATCTGGAAAGCACTGTTTTGAATATTTTCTGGATATGCATACACTGAACATCTTAGATGAACAGATCTTAAACCTGGCCAGTTACCATAATCACCTTGGGAGCATTTAAACACTTATAGTGACAGGTCCCATCCACAAAAATGTGATTATGTAGATCTTAAGATGGGCAACCAGAATCTATATTTTACAAAAGCACCTCAGATAATTCTTGTCAGAGCCATACTTGGGAATGACTTTCTAAAAACACATTAATATCATCCTCATCTTTAGTATTCTACAGTTTTGGAAATATCTGAATATTTGCAATCGTCTGATTTTTTTTAGGTCTACCAGAGTTAATATATTTGACTTCTTAAATACCTAAACATGGAACTACCCTTAATTATTTTTAGACTCCTTAAAATTAAGTTATTAAACTCTAGTTTTTTAAAAAATATGCTAAAGTTTTACTGAGATATTCAGTAAATTTTGTATATTACTCATATGTATATGTATACAAATGAAATATCTAAAGTGGCTCCCCTCCTTAGTTACCATATTGTCTTATTCAATCCCTTATAAAATATCAATTTTAAAAATTTGTTTATTTTATCTTCTGTTAATAGACTGTTAGCTCCACAAAGATAAGAACTCTCTATGCTACACTCACCACTGGACTCCTAGGGCCTAGAATAATGGTTGGTACATAATAGGGGTTCAGTACATATCTGTTAAATTAATAGATAGGGTATTATATACGTATATGCTGTTTGTGTATATATTGTTTATGTAAGCCATATGCCCATATGTGAGGTTGACATATTACCCAATTATGTGCACACACAGTCCATGTGTAATATCTTAGATGCTAATAAAAGTGCATTTTATTAGTCATGAAAGTTCTTTTATTCAAAGGCATAGGAATCTCCTCTAAATCCCAAATAAAAAGGGAGTGGTAGTCTTGAATAGATAGCCTCATCCCTTTCATTTGAAAGGGACCTGGAGGTTTTGATTTGGATATTCCATTAATATTTCTTTTCAGGAGGGGTCATGCCACTCAGGTGTTGTGAATCACTCTCACTTAATGTAGGTGAAAAGCCGCTGAATCATACTGAAATCACATTGCCCCGTGAGGAATGTGTCAACTATTTGTCTTCATTCACATAATGAAAAGTGTAGTTAATGATATTGTCACATTGAAAAACTTTAGTATCAAGTGGCTAAAAATACTTTCTTACCATATAAGGGAGTGAGGACACTAAAAGCTTACCTTTAAAACTATTTTTAAAGGATGAGGCTATTATAATTGCATCTTTTCTGTCTGGGTAATAGCCTTTTCAAGTGAAGAGTGCATTTCAGAGGTGTTCAACATAGCCGTTCCTTGGATCCTCAGCCAGGCTGTAATGCTGAGTGTGGTGCCTGGGAGTCTGGTGGATATATGGCATATTCATTATGTTGTTCATTTATACATTCATTTTATCAACAACATTCAATCTAGTATTCTTTGTATTCCAGGAGCTGTGTTAAGTACCCTCTAGAAGGTGAGAGAGAATAATAATGATGGCTTCATAGTACATATGTTACATAGTACATAGTATAATGTTATATATGCTATGATAGTGGTATATATGCAGACTGCTCTGGAAATAAGAACAAGGACATCTCCAGGCAGATGTCATCAAGGATAGCTACCTGGAGTTCCAAGTACTTATGCTGAGTCTTGAGGATGCGTTGCATTTATCCATTCCACAGATATTTATTGAGTGACTTTTATGGAACTAGGCTACACTCTGAATATACTATGGGGGAACAAGACAGGCATGAACACTGCCAGTCATGAACTCACAGCCTGTGAGGGGAGACAGACATAAAACAGATAACCTCCAAGTAAAAATATGTGATAAGTGAGGAAAATTTAATAAGACAGCATTGCAGATAGACCAAAATCTTGATAAATTGCTCAGGGAAAACCTCTCTTGGAGAAAATGATATTTGAGATGACATCTTAAGTGGAGTAGAAGTTAGCTAAGCAAAGACAGAGAGAAGAGCATACCAGGTAGCAAAAGCAAGATTCCCTTTATTTTACTCAAAGAATTTTGCTCTAAAAAACTACCCCCCCAAAACCCCCAAACAAACAGAAAACTAGAAAAGAATTGTTAAAGCATTACCTTCACTGAACATTTTGCTAGTAGAAAAATTTCAGAATACCGTGCATAGTTACAAAAAAAATGAAGACTAAATTTTTTTGTAACAATGCATGTTGACAGATGTTAACTAGACTTATATTGTGATTATTTTGTAACATATTCAAATATCAAATCATTCTGTACTATACCTCAAACATAGTGTTATATGTCAATTATTCCTCAATTTAAAAAGGTATAAAAAATTTCAGAACACGACCAAAAGTGATGGTTTGGAAACTCCTAGGAAAAGAGCCTGAAATATCTTTTTTTTTTTCCCTTTTTTGATTTCTTTCTCTGTCTTTCAAATTTTTTTCTTAAAAGAGAATAGAAGGTATTTTAGAAATAGTCATCAGAATGTTTGAATTTTATTTTGTTGTTGTTTTTAAGTTATACAGTAACTTCTGATTTCATGGTTTTATTGCTGTTGGGTTTTTTGAATTTTCAAATGTCAGCTTATACTTGGCTCATTGCAGCCGTAGAACACTGTAAAATACACAAAGACCCAATGTGGAGTTACTGCCTTTCTAACTTTTCACTCTCCAACAAACTTTGCTGTTTTTTGCCCTCTGGCCATAATAACTTACTCTTGTCAGATTGTATTCCTCTCTGCCCATCTGCATTTTCAGTACATTTCTGTTCTCATTCAATATTGGTTATGCTGCAATATAGCACATTCATGAGATCTGGGCTTCTGGTCTCCAGTGATGCAAATGCTTTCTCATGTGCCATGAGGCAAAGGCTTTCGTTTGGTTTTAATCTAACAGGGCAACGGGTACATCAAAGTCTCAGAACCTTTACTCCAAGACTTCCTTGAGGAACTGACATTTAAATGGAGAAGTAATGGAGTTGGTCATGCAATAAGAGTGAGAAAGAGTGAATAAGGGAGAGAGAGGAATTCCACGAAGTAAGAACTGGCATGTACGAAGACTCAGAGAATTAAAACACTGTAATCCATTCAAGGAACTACTCTTAGCTGTGTGAGCTACAGTGAAGTGTAAATATACAGAGGAAAAAAGAAAGTTTTAACAATTTTTTTATTATTTAGAGAGAGAAAATGGAACAAAGGTAAAGGGAACATTTGTGGCTTTGGTCTTTCCAGCACCCCTTCCTGCTTCACCCAGCGATAGCATCTTAATCCAGTTTCCAAGGCATTCAGCCTTCCCTTTAGCCCCACTGGTTTGAGTAAGAACTCAATCCACCTCTGGATCTAAGCATGCTTAACAATCTGCTAGTTATATCTCCTTCACCAAAGTGACTGGTTCAGGGATTGACTTATTTACCCAATCAGGGTAAGCAACCTTAATTCTAGAACCTTTGCCCAAACTCTTGGGAAGAGAGTATCTCTCTTTCAAATGGGATGGGAGGTAGAAACTATAAAGGGTGGCATGGAGAAGGCCAAACATAGTAAATCCAATAGGGAGAAATACAGATCTTAAAGATGAAGAGAAAACTACCAGCACATAAAGACATTGTTGGAACCTCTGGGCACAGTCATATCCCA